GACACAGAAGGGACAAGGATGTTTCAAGGCGAACAGAAGGAGGAAGAGGATAGTTAGATTGTGGATTTAGGCCTCATTAAGTCTCCTCCTTTTCCTCCTCCTCCCTTGGGGGTGGGGGCTATAAGTTTCAATCTGCCTTCAGATCATGCATAAAGTAAGAGTTCAATGGGGATGTATGTGTATGTGTCTGCATATCTATAAATAGACAGATCACACGCTCTCATGGCTTCTTGTTGCTGTTACGTGCCATCAAGTCAAGTATAATTCATATTGACCCTATGAACAACAGATCTGAACCCTGTCCTATCCTGTGCCATCCTCATCCTCATCCCACAGCCAACACAAAGGTAGAGGTTTGAATCCACCAACTGCTCTGTAGGAGAAGGATGGGCAATCTCCTCCCATGCTATTTACTGCTTCTGAAAACCCACTGGAGAGTCAGCTATGGGTTGGTTCTGACTCAACTGATGGTATATATATGTTGTCATTGTTGTACCACTTAATTGTAACCAACTCATAGCTGACCCTCCATACCAAACCAGAGTGGGTTTTCAGGGGCAGATAACCATGTAAGAGGAGACTGCCCATCCTTCTCCCACGGAGCAGCTGGTGTCTGGAACAGTGAGCCTCCAAGATCGCAGTGCAGCTTCTTGCCACTAGGCCACCAGAGCTGTCTCTCTATATACTTGGAGAAAGGGTCAGAAATTGTGCTGTCAACTCAAAAGAATGTGGTTCAAATCCACCAGCTGCTCCACGGGAGAAAGATGGACAATCTCCTCCCAAGTGATTTACTGTGTCTGAAAACCTTCTGGAGGCCCAGCTATTATAGGTCAATTCCAGTGTGAAGGTCAAGAACAACTGACATGTTTAGTAAACTCTGTATGGTTCCTAAGGCAAGGTGGGTTCATTTTTCTAGTTAATACTTTATTTAATAAGGTCCGAGTTAAAGAACACGCCAAAGAATCATCTAGGAAAAAATCCTAAAAGGGAAAGAAATAAAAGTTTCTCAAAGCAGAAGACCAGGCAGATTTACAGAAAGAAGTACCTCAATGTGGGCAGATTCTGTTCAAGTCAGTTCCAGGAGACAAAAGAAATTCTCACACACAGAGGTATATACAAATACAAACCCTGCTCACAAATGTATACGGAAACAGAATACACAAGGAAGAGGATTATTCTTCAGAAATGGGTCACATCACATACACTTCTGTATATCTTAACTCCTCTCCCTCAAAGACTTCCTGGAAATCCTCCTGAGTCAATTAATTCTTTTCAGTAATTGGACATTTCATAAGATGGACTTACCATCATTTAGTCAACTTCTCACTTGCTAATTAAACTCACTTAATATCTAGGTTGTTTTGGTGTTCCACCTCTCTCACTCACTCACACATACACACACATACACACACCCACCCCTTTATGCTTTTTCTGGTCACTACAAGTAACATGGCAATAAAGATGTTTATGCAGATATCCCTAACAATGGGCAATTTTCTTTTTATAGGTGAAATTCTCAGGAGTAGGGCTGAGGGTCATGTGTAATTTTTAATTTCAATGGATGTTCCCTTTCCAAAGGGTAAGGCACTTTCCCATTTTTATCAGCAATGCATGAAAATGCTCCTCTAACTAAAATCCCAGAGGCAGATGGTTCGAATCCACCAGATGCTCTGCCGGGAAAAGGAGGGACAATCTCCTCCTGTACCAGCCAGATCTGATTTGACGAAAATGCTCCTCTATTATAGCCAACAAAATGGACTGTCATTCTCCTACATGTTTTACCCAGTGATAGGTATAAAGTGAAGGAATATTGGGATAAATGTTGGACTATTAACTGAAAGGTCAGTGGCTTGAACCCACCAGCCACTCTGCGGGAGGCAGATGAGATGAACGGCTTCCGGCTTCCGGCAGGATTCACAGCCTCCACAATCACATGAGGCAGTTGGACTTTGCCCTACAGTGTGGGCCTCAGGATCTATATGTGCTGTGGTTAATCTTTTTTTGTTCTAATTTGCATTTTTGAATGCTAATAAATTTGAACATAGCTTGTGTATTTCTTGGAAACTTGAATCCCAAGTCTGTGAACTGCCTAGTCATAGCCTTTGTTTATTGTTCCTGAGTTTCTGAACTTTACACTCCTAAAATGATTATTATTTTATCCCTGGCTATTTTTTTTTCTTAAACATTTAAACCTTTCCTCCATCTACAAATCATTTTTTACAAGGAAGGATAGGATTCTTGGGAAGAGCTTAGGCTACTGGGGTCTCAAATCATGTGCTAGAACCAAGGAAAACGGTGACATGGACCAGGGACAGTGTGGCCAGCTCTTGTCAGCCACACACAATGACAAAGCCCTCAGTGGCCGTCAGAAAATAAAATCTGATACACTGATAATACATCTAAATTTGTATTAGAAAACTTGCCATTTTGAAAGTTCCAAGGTTCTCCTCATCAGAAAGCTGGACAGTGACTAGGGATGAGAGGAGAATTGATGCCTTTGAGCTGTGGTGCTGGAGAGGAGTACAACACTGAATATACCATGGACTGCTAAAAGAATAAACAAGTTCATCCTAGAGAGGGTAAAACCAGGCTGCTCCTTGGAGGCAAGGATTCTGAGGCTTCTTCTGACATACTTTGGGCATGTTGCAAGGAAGGGCCAATCCTTGGAGAAGGTCATTATGCTTGGGAGGGGGAGGGAAAGCACAAGAGAGGATGACCATAGATGAGATGGATTGATTCAGTGACTGGGGTAATGAGGGTAGGTGTGTCAGGTTGGCTCAGGATACAGCACAATTCAGAGCTGAGCTGTTGTACCTAGGGTCACTATGAGTCATAGGCAACTTGATGGCACATAACAACAACAAGAACAACATACTGAGTTATAAAATTTGCCATTTTGAATGTTCCAGGGTTCTCCATATTGATTACTATCTAAGTATAATGCTGTCCAATGAAAAAACTCAGCAAGATTTTGCCCAAATGGGGAAAAAATCTTCGTATTTATATGACACAATATCTAAGAGGTATGAAAAAGGCAACACAAAGTTTAAGTCATTATAATAAAATGACTGGAATCCCTAGGTAGTGTAACCAGTGAAATGTTCTCAGCTGTTAACTAACTGAAAGGGTGGAGGTTTCAGCTCACCCAGAGGCTGCTCCAAAGAAAAGTGCCCGGTGATCTACTAAAAGACGAGCCACTGAAAACCTTACTGCGCGGAGCACAGGTCTACTCCACACCTGCCAGAGCACAGTTCTACTCCACGACTATCGAGTCATTCTGAGTTGGCATCAACTCCATGACAACTGGTTTTAATCCAGTTATTACAGTACTGGCATGAATCTGTAGAAGAGAACAGAAAATCTAGAACACTTGAGCAAGATGATGGGAAGAACACAACTTATCGGCTAACTACTACTGGCGGCTCAGGTTATCCAAGAAATAAAACTGAATATTTAGCATCATAAAAGATGATGGATTTTAGAGCTGTTTGTCATTAAATGACAAGTTTATTAGGTCAGCACACCTCTTTCAACACCCTTATCTCTCTTTTGAAAATAACATTCTGTGCTTTTATAGTACAGTCACCTATACAACTTGAAGGGCATAGAAAATTTCTGCTTCCTTGAGGTCAAGGAAGAATTTGGAGATATGGTGCAGCGGAGGGGTGTGTGTGAATGAGTGATGCTTCCTATGCACTGGACCTTACTGGAAACAAGGAACACACTGGTGTCCACAGAAGCAACATGTCCATGCTGGCTCTCTCACAGGCTCCAGGACACAGCAGCTGCTCAGAGCTCAAGTGCCTGGTGGGTGGGCGTGGAGGAAGCAGGACACAAAGGTCAACACAATTACAGACCTGGTTCTGGTTCCCTGCCAAGTGCAGGAAAGTGAAGGAAGGGGCTACGTAAGAGTAAATGAGCTTTCTTTGGCACTGGACAATTTCCTTGTTCCTTGTACATTAAAATAGTCAAAAGCCATTCAAGTCTACACACTGGTCCATAAGCAAAACAATGTCATTTTCAAAAGGGTAAGAAAATTATCCTGCCTTTTTTCCAAGCCACTCTGGTTTTTATCTACTTTCATCTTCTCCTCTCAAAGATTAATTAAATACCTAATTATCAATCTCCTGCTCCCCCATCATTAAAAAAGAAATGTGGTGCTGTAAAGGATAATGGAGACTCACCACCAGGGTAAAAATGTAATCAGATTTGAAACAATTTAGGAAACAATATAACTTTGAATCTATTTCAGAGGGATAATGGCACAAGGGAAAAGAACGTATTTCATTAAGCTTCCCGATTATGAGACTATCAACTAATGTAAATGAAAGTATTTCCTGTTCTAGTTGCCACTGGTCAACACTGACTCAAGGAGACTCTGTGAATGTCAGCATAAAATGGTGCTCCAAAGGGTTTTCAATAGCTGACTCTTCAGAAGGAGAGCACCAGGTCTTCTGAGGCACCTCTGTTGTTGTTGTTGTATGCTGTTGAGCTTTCAGAGGCTGTAAACAGCACAGGAGGAAACTGCTCATCTTTCTGCCAAGGAGCAGCTGGTGGATTTGAGCCACATGCCACTGGGATAGCAGCACAGCTCCTTACCCATCAGGCCACCAGAGCACCCTAAGGCACCTCTAGGGAAACTGTCAACCTCTCAGCCAGCAGAGGATCACTTGGCCATCTGCACCATCCAACAACTTCTAAAAGAAAGTGTGTTGCACCAGTTTGTTAGGTGCCATGGAGTTGGCTCCAACTCAGTTATTCTATTTACAACAGAAGATTTAAATGTAAATATTTTTAATTTCAGGAAAAGGAAACTGAATATTCAAGCAGCAAGCAACAAAGTTATTTGCTGCTCTCCCTGCAAACAAATCTGTTTTCTTCAATTCTCTATCTACCACCTCTCCTCCAATGATCTCAGTAAAGCAACTGTTTTCTTACCCAGGTTATAAGCATGATGTAAACAGCTTGCGGTTTGAGGGGCTTGCTTCATGATATCTTACCTTAACAATGCTGATAGGCTTTCTAGATAAGTGAAAACTTGCATACAGCAAAAATGTCAAAAAAAAGATGAAGGCTCTGAACCTGAAACACAAAACAGTGGAAGAGCATGATACATGATACATTAAAAATAGACTTTAACTGCATTCTAAAACTTTCTAAGCTATTTATAATTCAGCCAGTATCCATTCTATTTATAATACTGCTACAAGATTACAACATTAATAAATGTACTATTTTTGCTTTTGAAACCAAACCACTTAAACTTTTATTTACAAAAACAAAACTATAGTCATTTTGGGATTCAGAGTATGTGCATACCTATTTACAAAGGAGACAAATGAGATTATTTACTTTACAACGAAATCAACCACAAGTTTCTTAGGCAGCCTGCTATTCTGTGCACTTAAGATCATATTTATTTTTAACTTTTTACTTCTCTCCAGCTTTCAGAAGCACACAAGCAAGACAGAAATATAAATATTTGGCTGGCCTCAATGAGAAAAACTTGGTGATGCTGACCAGGTAAGAATAAGGTCAATGAGAGAAAAAACACAACCACTAGGCTTTCCTGCTCCCAAAGAGGGTGTTTGCTTTACTGGCCTCAAGAACAAGTGGGGAAGTGTCAGATACATTTTTTCAGAATTTACTCCTTTTTTTAGTTTAAAGTTTTATTCCGATGGTAAAGAGAATGAGTCACTCACTGCCAGACAGTCTGAACCAAACCACCTCATAGCTGACTCTTGAGCAAGTTTTCAGAGGCTGTAAATCACACAGGAAGAGATTCCCCATCTTTCTACCACAGGAAACAAGAGAGTATCTCTACTTAACTCTGAGCTTAGGCCCTGCTCTCCACCCTACCCAGACAGCCCAGGAAGAACAGCCTCTGAGTGACTAGATATGGTTTCATGAGTCCTGGAGCCCTGTGCTGAGTTCTTAGGTCAGCAAGGTCATCAGTGCCAGCAGTCGTTTGAAAGTGGTCCTCCTTCTTCTCGAGCTGATAGGTTTGCACACCGCTTTGGCAGCCCTGACCTAGTGGGTCTCTGGTCTGTTCTCGTGCCTTTAAGTGGGAGAAGGGAGAAGCTGAGCTGTCCCCCATCCCTCGGATGCTGCCCTGTGAACACAGGGGATAAGAAAGCATGACCAGGGCCTCTGGACTGCTAGTCCCAATGTACCAGGAGAACTTAGCCCATCTGGGAGAAGAAACCACCAACAGGTTCCCCGGGTTCTGTGGGAGCAGCTGTCCAGCAGGATCAGGTAAAGGACCCCCTGACACAGCACTCTGGACTTTTCCTAGAGACAGAAGATAGGCCTCCTAATGAGGAAAACCTTTTAGCTAGGATCAGACCAACCAAACCTCCTTCCTTTACTTCAAAATTCCTCCTTCCTCCCTCATTTTCCATCTTATTTACATAGGAAGCAGGGGGGGGGGAGCCAGCAACTTGAGGTTGTGTGTTTCCCTTAAACAGTGTCTGACCACAGCTTCCCACCAGGCCCTTTTAAATCACAGACACAGTGTTCTGGGCCTGGTGCCAACTGGAGGCCACCTTAACAGCCTGTCCTGGAGAGGGAGCACACCGTTCCTTTCTGCAGGAACACCTTGAATCCTGGGGGCACATCTAACATTCCCAACAACCTACCCAAACCCTTTTTACCATTTTGTAATTCTACCCTTATGTTGTTCTTTCTTCTTCCATTATTTATGAAGCAAGGCTTTGAGAAGACTTTTGTTTGCTTTTATCCCTCACTATCTTTATTGTGGTTTTGTGTTCCATTTAGGCTTATGAATATTGTAGCAAATACAATTAGAAATCTCTTTAATGCTTCGATTCATCAGTGCTCCACGTACTTTTGTTATTTCTATAAAACTACAGCATTCTCCACAGCTGCCAACAAACACAATAAGAGTTAACCCCAAGTTTCCAGCAACTAAAGCATGACTTAGCAATAGACCACAGAATAAATTTGTTTGTTTTCTAAGCCTTCTTAAAAGCGTTCTAGGATATCATGCATATTTTCAGATGCAAGTTGGCTCCAACTTCAGGGAATCCAGGAAGAAAATCTGTCAATGTGTTTGAGTGGTGTGTATCTCAGTCATGCACCAATGAAGAATAATCATATACTTTTTGGTGGGAATTACTGAGCAAGACTGCTTGACATAGAAATTATTCCAAAGTGACAAACTCAATTTAAAAAAAAGAAAAAATGACAGACATGAAACTCAGAAGCGTCTAAAGTATCATTTTCAAATATCCTACACCAGGAAGTTCCTAAGTTAATAATATTAGCTCATCCTTTAGCTAAAGCACTGTCTGTTGCTATCATGTTTCAAGCAATTAATAATGAACTTGTGGGAATTGGAGTTTTTGCAGGTGTCCTGCCCCTCAAACATTCATCAATAATCTTAGAATCTGTTGATTTTTTTCCCCTCTGACTAGTTACTACTCTGATGGCTACAGAATGGTGATGTTCTGACTCCAGCATTCCTTCTCAACTCATTAGCCAGCATTCTGCTAAAAGGAAGAGCTTCCCGTTCTCTCATTTGGTCATTTATTCCTGTCAGTACAGATTCACTAGGCTCTTATGTTACTTATACCCTATTAGTAGGGAGCTCTGGTAGCCTAGTCAGTAGGGAATTGCATAGCCAACCCAAAGGTGAGTGGTTCGAATCTACCAGGTGTTCCATGATGGAAAGATGAGCAATCTCCTCTTAAGTAATTATAACCACTGGAAACTTGCTGGGATTGGTTTTGACTCAACTATAATGAGTTAGTATCATTTTGTTTAAATCCAGACCTGGCTAGTGAAGGTCCTTTCATAATTATTTCCTTATTTTCTGTCACAAGACGTTGCAAGTTCATCTTTTATTTTCTCTCCTTACTCCTGGCATCTTCTATGTCTCCAGGGATCACTAAGAAAACTCATTGTAAACAACTCATGGTTGACCCTCCAATGGGTTTTGAGAGGCTATAGATCACACAGGATAAGTCTGCTTATCTATCTTTCATGGAGCTACTGGTGGATTTGAACTGCCAGTGCGGTGCTACCATTTGGGTTAGAAGCACAACTCCCTACAGATTACATCATCAGTGCTTCTTTATAGTTGGAAAGGTACTAATATCTGGCACTAGATGTGTGTGGAGTTAAGAGTATATTCAAAGTGGCTTTTCTAGCCCTTGCCTGACTTTGTCATATGTTTGGACAGGAATATGTGAATAGGGCATGTTATTCTATCCACAAGGGGACTGGCTAGCTCACCAATCCATAAGAGCACTGGCTTGTCACTTCATTAAATTGAGTATATCCAACAGCAGAAGAAAGAAAACTCACCACCAGTAAAGAAGGACAAGCAAGGGAATGCAGCTCATCCTTCAGGACCACAGCAACAACCATAGCAGCTCAATGGAGAACCAGAGACCTGACATGAAGTGGAATTGACCATGGGACCACTACCCCTCATGGACAGAACCAGAGCTAAGCTAAGAGTCTTTGTCCAAGCTTGTTGGACAACTTCGGGGTGGGAGGTGGGGAGCCAATATTGAAGGGACTAAGAACTTTGTAACACTGGCCTAAAGCCATGAGGCTCAAGGCTGAGGTGCCTGCAAGCACATTTTGGAAGCTGTCCTGACTGTATTCTACTACAAACCTGGATTATAACCTCTTGCCTTCCCCAACAAGGTTCTATGTGGTGCACAAGCTATCACCTTGGATTTGGGGTCCAGTAAAGCAGTAATATTGGTGTTGAGTTGAATAAAAAGAAGTACGAGAGCATGATGGACATGGCTGACCTCATGGGAATTGATTTTGTGTTGCTGATGTTGTTGCCGGGACAGTTCCCCTTTGTAAAGTTGGCAAAGGTCAGGCATGGCTGTCCTCACATGGTCCTTGTTCTTTTTACAATGTGCCACTAGGGAATTGTTCCCAGGATCTCTCACTTTTATACAAACATATCTCCTATTTCTTGCTGTATCTATTCAATTATATATTAGGGAGCTCTGTTGTCATGGTCCACAGGAAGCTGCACTGCTAACCCAAGGGTGATACCTTTCTAGAAGCTGGACTCCACCAGTTGCTCCAGGGTAGAAAGATGGGTAGTCTCTTCCTGTGTGATTTACAGCCTCAGAAAACCCTCTAGAGGGTCAGCTAGAAGTCAGCTCTAACACACAAAAATAATTAAAAAAAAAACTAAAAAAAAAAAAAAAGAAGTCAGCTCTGACCCAATGGAATAGTACTTGAATGAGTACTTCTTCTCTATCTGTGAATTCTCCTACCATAAACTGCTGCCAAAAAAAAGCATAATCTGAATATGATCATGACTAATTATCAGATATTACCAAAACAAGAGGCATTTATAACATGAACGTCCTAGCCTTTTAAAAAATGAAAGATAAAGAAAGGCAAGGGACTCTTCTAAATTAAAGGAGACCAACACTACAAGACAACTAAATCCAACATGTGGTCCTGGACGGGTTCCTGGGCAGGGATGGGAATGCATTGGGGCTATTATTGGACATTTGATATAATTTTGAAGAGAGAGTGTGGATAAGAAATAGAATTTCAAATTATTTTCATTTTTATGACTGTGCTATGACTTTGTAAGAGAATGCTTTGCTTCTGGGAAATACACAACACACATTGAAGTACTTAGATATTAAAAAGTATGATGCCATGTAGTCCACAATATGAATTGAAGCTCAACATCAAGAAGACAAAGATTCTCACAACTGGGCCACTGACAACACCATGATGAAAGGAGAAGAGATTGAGGTTGTTAAGTTACAGCTTGCTTGGCTCCACACTCAACACTTTTGGCACCAGCAATCAGGAAATCAAAAGAGGAATTGCATTAGGTAAATCTGCCGCAAGAGTACTGAAAACCAACGATTTCAGTCTAGAAACCAAGGTGCGTCTAATCCAGGCCATGGTCTATGCAATTACTTTCTATGCATAAGAGAGCTGGACAATGACTAAGGATGACAGAAAAATAATTGATGCCTTTTAGTTGTGGTGCTGGAGAAGAGTCTTGAACATACTATGGACCACCAAGAAAACAAACAAGTCTGTTTTGGAGAGGGTGAAATGAACTTTCTCCTTGGAGGCTAGCATTTTGAAGCTCCATCTCATATACTTTGGGCATGTGCCCAAGAGGGACCAATCCTTAGAGAAAGACATCATACTCAGGAAGGTGGAAGGACAGACAGAGATCCCGGATGAGATGGACTGATACAGTAACTAGCGCAAAGGGGGTAGGTGTGTCAAGAGTCAGTGAGACTGGCTCAGGACAGGGCAGGCTTCAGAGCTGTTGTACATAAGGTCATATTGAGTCATGGGTGACTTGATGGCACATAACAACAACAATGGTGATGATGTCATGAGAAGCACTAGATAGACAGTGCTCACCTACCACTCCAGGATCATAATATTATTGTTATAGTTAAGTACTGTTGAGTTAGAACTGACTCAAAGCTGACTATCCAGTAGGTTTTTAGGGGCAATAAATCACACAGGAGGAGAATGACCATCTTTCTCCTGTTGGGCAATTAGTGGATTAAATTCACATGCTTTTGGAGTATGTAAAAAGAGCAAGGGTCACATAAGGACAGCCATATCTGACTTTTACCAACTCCACAATGAGAAACTGTCCCCATTAACAACATGAACCACACAAAACCAATTCTCATGAGGTGTGACATGGCCCTCATGCTCCCACACCTCTTTTTACTCATTCTAACACCCCTGTTACTTCTCTGTTGTAGTTGTGTACCACAGAGTGAGAACTGACTCCTAGCTAATTCTCCAACAGGTTTTCAGAGGCAGTTAATAAAACAGGAGGAGACTGTCCATTCATCTCCAGCTTACTACTTATTACTGGGTCCTTCTTTCTTTACTACTCTACTGGGTCCAAAATCCATTGTGATATCTCACAGACCACATAGAACCATATTGTTGCTGTTGTTGTTGTCTCGTTGTTATGTGCCGCCAAGCTGCCTGCAACTCATAGCAATTCTATGTACAACAGTTCTGAACCCTGCTCTATCCTGTGCCAATCTTATCATCTCTGATACACCCCAGTCACCAAATCAATCCATCTCATCTAGGGTCTTCCTCTCTTGCACTTTCCCTCCACTCTCCTAAGAATGACATCCCTCGCCAAGGACTGGTGCCTCCTTGCAACATGTCCAAAGTATGTCAAATGAGGCCTCAGAATCCTTGCCTCCAAAGAGCAGCCTGGCTTCACACTCTCTAGGACAAACCTATTTGTTCTCCTAGCAGTCCAAGGTATATTTAATACGCTTCACCAGCACCACAGCTGAAATGCATCAATTCTCCTTCTATCTATCCCTAATCATTGTCCAGCTTTCTGATGTATAGCAAGTAACTGCAAAGACTATGGCCTGAATCAGGCGCATCTTAGTCTCCAGACTAACACTGTTGCTCTTTCAGTACTTTGGAGAGGTCTCTGACAGCAGACTTTCCCAATGCAATTCATCTTTTAATTTTCTTGCTGCTGGTACCAAGAGTGTTAATTGTGGAGCCAAGCATATTAGAAAAGTCAACAGGCTATAGTTCGAGTTAGTAGCAGTATATAATCACAAAATTAGGACAGCTTCCAAAATGTACTCAATGGCACCTCAGCCTTGAGCCTCATGACTTTAGGCCAGTGTTACAAAGTTCTCAGTCCTGCCAATCATGGCTCTCCCCACTGCCCAGTTCTCCAATAAAATGTGGAAAAAAGGCTCTTAGCTCTGGTTCAATGGCATAGCAGTACCAAGGTCCACGCTGTCTCACATTAGGTCTCTCATTCTCTGCTGTGGATTCTATGGCTGCTGTAGGCCTTGGTCTGACTGGTGCACAGATCTTGGCCTCAAAAGATGCACTGTATTTTCTTGCTGCTTCTTTGCTAGTGGTCTTGTTCTCTCTTTCAGCTGCTGAATCTGCTCTATTTAGTGGTGAGACTATTCTTATAGAATAAGAATATTCTTATGGAAAGGCTAGCACAACCAATTCACATATCCCCACCCATTCACATAGCAAAGTAAGTCAATGGCTGGGGAGGCCATTTTGAACAATAAACCCTTAACACCACTGGTTGGCAATGCTATTCCTTACCACTAGGCCACCAGAGTTCCCTAGGGATCACTATAGAAGGTCTCCAAAAGAACAAACAGAAACAGATGCCTTAGAGATGGTGCAGCCAGACTGCTCTTTGGAGGCAAGAACGTCCCACATACTTTGGGCATGTTGCTAAGAGGGACTATTCCTTGGAGAGGGACATGATGCTGGGAAGGGTGGAGGATCAATGAAGGAGAGGAAGACCCTCAACCAGATGGATTGATATGGTGACTACTGCGATGGGGTCTTGTGTGTCAGGAAGTGTGAGGATGGTGCAGGATAGAACAGGGTTCAGATCTTTTGTGCATAGGGTCACTATGAGTCATACTCAACAGCACTTAACAACAACAATAGATTGAGAGAGAAATGTGAAAAAAAAAACATCTTAAAACCATAAAAAGAAAAAAAAATGATTGAGTTTACTGGTCCAAGAGAAATTAATGGAATCCTTGAGACTATGGACATTAGTCACATTTCAAGCTTGAAACTGAAATAATCTTCAACTTTTTTTGAATCATGATTCAACATTAAGCCAAATAACTGACATGCCTGTGAGGTGACAGATAACATCAGGGAGGAACACTCAACAATGCAAGATCAAAAAACTACATTTACCCACAGATAAAACTCAGAAGGCAGGGAGGATCAAGAAAGCACAGTTTGGTGGGTGGAGGAAGGGGGAAAAGACGATGGGCAGTGTCCAAAGGCGATTGATTTTATGAAAATGATGCATAAGAATGACTGTATGAAACACAGTGTGGATGAAGAATAGTGTGAAATGCAATGTATAATAAACTGTTTAAGCAAACCAATAAAAAACCAAATAAACAAACATATGGACTGAGATACTGTGGTACATCACACAATGGAATACTATGCAGCACTAAGGAAGAAAGATTCCATAAGTATAACATGTGAGAGACTAAAAAGCATTATGCTAAGTGTAATAACTCAGTTACATAGGAAAAATACTGCATAAGACTACTATTGTGAAAAGAGGAGGATAACTGAGCAAGATGTGTATAAATGTTTAAAGGGGAGGAAGAGGGCAGAAATAGGGATGGGGGGAATTCTAGGCTAGCAGAGGTTAGTGGGTGGATGGGGAGTTGAAGGAATAGGAAAGATTCAATAGAGACTTGAAAAGACAGGATGGTAGCAGGTAGAGGTTGATAGTAATTAATGTATTTGAATGATTGTATAAAACATAATATGCATGCATGAAACACCTGTATATGAATGATTATATGAATATTAATTTAAAAATTGCCTAAACCTGCCCACCCCCAAAGAAAAGAAAAGAAAGAAAGCTAAATGGAGGCAGGAAACAAGGACAGGGCCTGGGGACAGTGCTGTTACGTTGTGGGCATTATAATCTACATCACATGTCACAAAACAAAAGTATATAAACAGTTACATGAAAAACCAATTTTCTCTGTAAACTTTCACTCAAATCACAATCAACTATTGTTTTTAAAGGAAACAAAATAAAAAAAAGAAAGAAAGAAAGAAAATCCCCTAGATTTAAAATTTGGAGAGGACTGAGGGTAGAAGGAAAAGATATGTTATCTACAATTTACTTTCAACAGTACAGAAAAAGTGCATGGGGGGAGGATAGCAGGAAAAATGGAAAAACAAATTAGGTAAAATGTTAACAGCATACATCCTACAGTTCTTTGTAACATTCTGACAATCCTCCTCTGTGTGGGTGAAATTATATAAAGTTATAAAGGTAAAGAAGTCAATGATAAAACAGCAGGAAATAAAATGTAACTAACCATGTCTTTGTGGCTAGATTTGCAACAGGAATGAAGTGAAAGTCAATAAGGGAAACTTCTGATTAGAAAGAGGCTTGTTTTCAAGTCAGACTGATAGACCTGAGTGCTCTTGGATCAGGATCTCCAACCAGCAGGGGCCTTAGAAGCTGTGAAGTGCAGAAACCCAGGAATGGGCTGGGGGCAGGAAGGATCAATGGGGAGAAACTTCCAACAGCCTTGATGGGAAAGCACAGCACCTGCTCAGCCTCCGCCCCACTGTTTGCTTTCTTCATGGAGGTCAATGAATCCTCCCAAGAGAAGGATTTCCAGAACATTTGAGACAGGAGCTCCCTGAACAGAAAAGCTGATGTTCCAGTCTGCATATGACATTGTTTAAATTTCATTTTGTCTCTGCAACTACTGAAAACCAGGCCACGGCCACTCATTTGCGTTCAGCATTAATACACTCACTTCATCTACAGCCACTTTCTAATCTTGCTGGTCAACAGTAATCATATCATGTTCCTGTGGGGACCATAATTATTACAGAAACCACCAAAGACCACAGAGGAAGTCCAGACATTCCCTATCCCCTCCAGAAATGAAGACAGATGGGCAACTCAGTGCTCGTGGTTCCTACTTCTACCATTGATAAGCAATTCAACGGTTACCAGGGAAATAAGTCAACATGTGTTTTACAATGACATCAGAAAGCAAAAGCTGGCCTGTGTATGTCCACCCACATCTGCACACAGCCCCACACCAGAGGCCCTGGACACCAGGACTTACCATTGATCTCTTGAGAATGAGACAAGGAAACGAATGCCAATAGGGAGCCGAGCCATTGACGTCACCACAGACCACGGAGCTTCCTTCATGAAAGAGGATGATTCATACACGGGTGATTAATCTTTGTTCCAAGTTACCTCTCTCACCCCTAAAGCTCACACAGGCCAGGAACATGCAGTTACAATATCCTGTTGGGTCTTGTGTCCCCTCTTCAGTGTTTTGGCACTCTATAAAGAGAAAGAGAAGTGTCACTGGAAGATGTCACTGCAAGTATGACTGTTACTTGGCCTGGGTTGGGGCAATATGACACAGAACTCCCTCCACGGCACTATCCAGAGGAGACAGTGTCCATCCCTGAGGCAGTTTGTTCAAAGGGGATTGAGAAGAACTTCACATGATGTTCTGATGAAGTATTAGAGGGACCATGAAAGTCAGCTGCACCTGGAAGGGAGCCAGAGATCAGCCCACTCACTGTGAACTGCGAACCAGTAAAGAAAGAGAGTCATGATTCACACGAAACCAAGTACATGCTCAATGGTCATGCCATGTGCTCAATTACAGAGTGTGCCAGGGCAACTGGACATGCTCCAGCCCACCCATGCGGGCCAGGCCACCTGTGAGCCACAGAGAAGAGCAACTTGCCAAGATGGCATGTTGTCAAGTCAACCACTTCATTGCAGCTTTGCAATTTTAATCTAAATCTATGTTATGTGGTGGGAGCTAATTTCTTCCTTCTGCCTTTTCATTCCTATAGGTCACCACAAAGGTCATGGAAATCAAAAAGTTAGGACCAAAGGCAGAGTTGGGGAAAGGGTGCCACTTCACCAGGCCAGCCTGTTTACCACTCCCAGCAACCCTACAGGGAATAGAAGAGGCTCTCTTCTTCAGAAGTCTTTGCATCTTGCAAAACAGAAGTGGTCTCAGTACATTTATGCTTGTTTCCTTCAGAAGGAGCTTTGAAAAGAAACATCTTTATTCATGATTTTCCTCTATTAGGACTTCTAGAAAAAAACAACAACACAACCCTTGACAAGTTTACATTATAGCCTCTCATTATCAAGCTGAACGGGAGCCCCTAACTGTGAAACAGCCTATCTGTGCCCCACAAAGGCCCTCAGCCCTGGCCAGGCCTCAGCAAATGCCACTCATTTTGACTCAGTGCCTCCTAACTGACCTTGGCCTCCTAACTAGAAACAAGTTACTTAACCTTCCTGCTTTTGTCTGACTAAATTGGGAAAGAAAATATCCACATTCCATCACTGAAACAAGATAATAAACAGAGAGCAGTTAGCCCGGGACCTGTTAGATTTATCAGGTCATTATTTATTGGCTGGGACTACCCTTGTTATAAACTCTGCAATGCTGGGAGGCAAGGAAGTGCCGTATGTCCAATACCTTGATCAGGACCAGCACATAACAAGTACTCAGAAACCTTGTGTTGACTGGGTGGTCACAGATACTACAAAACTGCTTTTGCTCAAATCCCTAGATTGAAAAAGAAAGAGTTTTACTCAAATTTTGTTCAAAATGCATTAGTTCTTGCTAGAGCCTAAATGTTGTTGTTATATACCATCGAGTCGCCTGCAACTCATAGCAACCCTATGTACAAGAGAGCTAAACTCTGCTCTATCCTGTGCCAACCTCACCGTCTCTGACACACCTACTTACACTCCCCCAATCACTGAATCAATCCATCTCATCGAGGGTCTTCCTCTCCTGCGCCGTCCCTCCACTCTCCCAAACATGATGTCCCTCTCCAAGGACCAGTTGCTCCTTGCAACATGCCCAAAGTATGTCAGATGAAGCTTCAGATTCCTTGACTCCAAGGAGCAGCCCGGCTTCACCCTCTCCAGGACAACCTGTTTGTTCTCCTAGCAGTGCATGGTATATTCAACATTCTTTTCCAGCACCACAGCTCAAAAGGCATCAATTTTCTTTCTATCATCCCTAGTCACTGTCCAGCTCTCCAATGCATAGAACACAATTGCAAAGACTATAGCCTGGATCAGGCGCACCTTAGTCTCCTGCATGACATCATTGCTGTTCAGGGGAGAGGTCCCTGACAGCTGACTTTCCCAATGTAATTCATCTCTTGATTTCCTGGCTGCTGCTACCAAGAATGTTCAAGCAAACTAAAACTGTTAACTATCTCAATCTCTTCACACCCATACTGATGTGATGCTGCCAATTGGCCCAGTTGTAAGAACCTCTGTTTTCTTGCTGCTGAACTTCAATCCATATTGAAGACTGCAGTCCTTGACCTTCTGCAGTAAGTACTTCAGGTCCTCCTCAGGTTGTGTCATCTGCACAATGCAGGTTGTTGATGAATCTTCCACCAATTCTGATGCCACATTACTCCTCATACAGCCCAGTGTCCCAGATGGTCTGTTCTGCATACAGATTGAAAAGGTATGGAGACAGAATACATCCCTTGCAGATGCCCTTCCCAATTTTGAATCATGCAGTGTCTCCTTGCTCTGTTCTGATGACTGCCTCTTGGTCCAAGTATAGGTTTCGCATAAGCACAATCAAATGTTCTGAGATTCCCATTCTTCTCAGAGTCAGCCATAACTTGTTGTGATCCACACAGTCAAAAGCCTTTGCATAGTCAATGAAGAACACACACACATTCTTCTAGTATTCTCTTTCTGCCAAGATCCATCTAACATTAGCTGCAATATCCCTAGTACCACAACCTCTTTTAAATCTAGCCTGCACAGCTGGTAGTTCTCTGTTGGCATGTTGCTCCAGTCATTTTTGGATAATTTTCAGCAGAATCTTGCTAGCATGTGATACTAATGATATTGTCCTATAATTTCCACACTCTGTTGGGTCACCTTTCCTTGGAATGGGAATAAATATCAATCTCTTCCAGTCAGTTGGCCAGCTGGCTGTCCTCCAGATATCTTGGCACAGCTTAGTGAGCACATTCAGGGCAGTGTCTGTTTGTTGAAATATGTCAACTGGTATGCCGTCAACTCCTGAAGCCTTGTTTTTTGCCAATTCTTTCAGAACAACTTGAACTTCCTCCTTCATCACCACAGGCTCTGGCTCATACGTTATTTCATGAAATTTCTTCTGTGTCAGCCAATTCCTTCTGGTACGGCTTCAAAATAAAATTTACAAGATCTGAAAATGTTCAGTCTGGCGGTCTAGTCCATGGGGAATCATATTGCTAAACCAAAGGCCACAGCTCTCTGCTTGTTTGAATCCACCAGCAGCTCTGCAGGAGAAAGATGCGTAACCTCATCCTGTGTGATTTACAGCCTCAGAATCCCAGTGGAAGGTCATCCATGGGTTGGCTACTGTATGACATTCAGAATATAAATTCTTCTTCCATTCAAATATTATTTCTCTCTGCACCAGAGAAAAAGGAAACCAACAGCTGTCCAAGTAGATTGCAACTCATGGGGACTCCACATGCAAAGTAGAACTGTGCACACTAGGGTTTTCAATTGCTCATTTTTCACAAGTTGATTGCCAAGTCTTTCTTGCAAAATATCAACATTCAAACTATCAACCTCTCAATTACTGGGAATTGCCTCATAATCGGTGACCCTCCGGTGGGGTTTCAGCGGCTGTAATCTTGAGTGGGAGGAGACGGTCCATCTTTCTCACTCAGATCTTCTGGCACCAGAGAGACAATGACTCTGGGTTAGCAGTGCAGCTCGCTACAAACTACAGCACCAGAGCCCCCTTTGCAATGAAAAATCGAGCACTGGAATCAAGCCCTCCACAGTTTGCTCTCCCCAGATAGTCCTCACTAAACACCAATTATTCCTTAAAATCTATTGTTTGTCTGAGTTGTCTGCCACTCATAGCAACAGATCTGAACCCCACACTACTGCGTGCCGTCCTTCTGCCATCTTTGAGCCCGCTATTGTAGTCACGTCTTCACTCTGTCTGACTGAGGGTCTTCCTCTCTTTCTCTGACTTCCTACCTTTCCCAGCAAGTCCAAAGTAGGTGAGAAAAAGTTTCCTTGTTTTTACTTTAAGGAGCATACTGGTTGTGATTCCTTCAAGACCAACTTGTTGGTTCTTTTTTTCCTATATTTTTTAAGGCAATAAAATGTATAATTAAAAATTCCTTGATGCAAATGAAAATTAAAATATAACTATCACAGTCCTTCCCCCCACCCCCAGCTTCTCTGATTTTAACCCAATTTTTGTGTTTATTCTTTTGGCAATCTTGGGGTATTGAGCATTCTTTCTCAGCATCACAATTCAAAGGCATCAATTCTTTTAGTCTTCCTTATTCATTGTCCTACTTTCAGATGCCTTAAAAACAAATGAAGATTCCACGGCTTGGAGCAGGCACATCTTAGTCTTTAAAGTGACATCACTGCTTTTTGGCACTCTGGAGAGGCCCTTCATGGCAGAGTTCCCCAAAACAAAACATCACAGCTCCTATTACCATAGATGTTGACTGTGGATCCAAATCAATGAAATCGTTGCAACTTCAATCCTTTCCTTCTCCATCTATCATGATGCTATTTGCTCAGTGGTGATATTTTTGGTTTTTTTTATATTGATATGTAATCTACGTTGAAGGCTGTAGTCTGTGGTCTTCTACTCTAAATGCTTCAAAGTCTTCTTAACTTTTTGTAAGCAAGGATAGATAGGTCTTCTTCCAATCCTGATGTCACATTCCTCTTCATACAGACCGACTGTACAAATTGTTTGCTCACCATACCAACTGAATGGATATGAAGAAATTATACAACCCAAACACACACCTTTCCTGATTTTAAGCTATGCAGTTTCCCTCTGTTTAGTACGTGCCACTACTTCTTGATTATGGCTAGGTTTCTCATGAACACAATTAAGTGTTCTGGGACTCCAACTCTTTTCAATGCTATCATTGCTATGCTATACTCAAATCACAGCAATACTCAATGCTATGATTTGTTATGATTCACAGAGTCAAATGCCTTTGTATAATCAATAAAACACAAGCAAATATATTTCTGGTATGGTCTGCTTTCAGACAAGATCCATCTGACATTAGAAATTACATCCTTTGTTCCACAGCCTCTTCAGAATCCAGCTTAAATTT